TGAAATTCTTTTTATTGGCTGTTACATTGTGGTTACTTCTCATGCCCTGAAATCAAACATTTCCAAAAAAGCCTCATCTTTATTAGCTACAATATTCAGTTGATTACACATTAAAGCAGCGGTATATTTAACCAATTTATTTTTTAAAACTTAACAGACATGATTTTGGCTTGATTTGATGCTAAAAGCACATGTGCTTTCAGTTAAGAAGAAATCTTAATATTGCTGATTTAGAGTTGCCACACTGTGGTTAGTTAATTGTGTCAAGCGCATAAAAGTACTCAGCCCACAATTATAATAAGAAAAAAAACCCACTTCTTACATTACAAACAAAGAGCTTTACTGTCTTCTGTTGTAGGCTCACCAAAACAAAAGCAGCCCCACCCATATGGAAAAGATATATATAAATCTTATAAAGTTTGTATCTGTCTTGTGTGAAACTTATATGAAAAGCATACAAGAGTGAAAACAGATATAAGATCCCCTGAAAAATTATATAAATGAAACTTGTATGTTTTACTAAAATAATATATGAAAGTAATGAGAAAGTGGCCACTTTCATGAGTAAATCATATAAGCCTTATATTCACTATATGAAGTAGGCCACATCTTATGCAAGTCTTTTATAAGGTTTTACTATTTCTTTTCCATATGGGCACGCTCTTCTTATAATCGTCTTTCCAGGCGAACGCATCAAAAATTCAATATTTATCCACCTTACCACACTCTAAACTTATCATATAATGGACAAAAATACAGTGGACTTCAGTCTTATTTCAGTTACATTAGAAACAATCTTCAGGGAGCTTCCTTTGTTCTATAGCTAACGATGATGTAACTGAATATAACTTTGCACACAGCTCTTTGATTTTTTTTTAACAAATTCAGGCTGGAGGCTGTTACATATTTTTTATCTGACATTATGTACTTAATTTACTTTAATAGGCCATCTGTGTTTGTACTTCAGAAACCATTTGCAAGGTTCACGAGGGAACTAAGACACTGGGAAACTAGGAACTTTAAACTAGGAGTGAGGATAACTAGGAATATGGAGGAGACACAACAAAGAGCAAAGGAAAGCACAGGGAGCAACGAGGATGAGGGAAACACAGCTGGGACTAATTAAACATAAAGAGACAAAGGAAGCAAAGCAGAATACACCACACACACAGGACAGGGACTATCAAAATAAAGCAGGAAACAGGAGACAGACATGGAGACGCGGACTTGACAAGGAGACACGACTGATTGGGGAGACACAGGAGATGAACGAACACAGAAACTACACATAAAGACAGTTCACGGGGGCCGACCGCAGCGCAGAGGTGAAATCATGTAGATATGAAACAACTGGACACATGCAGCACTGATCACTTGTGTCTGTTTCCAGAAGACTGGCCACACAGCTACGTTTTCAGTCTCTCTTTGTGATGCAGTCCATTTCACCAGAGTTACCAAAGCTGAGAGAAATCAAATAAAGAAATCAATATAACCACCATCAGCATGTAAGCAGGCTACCACACAAGCAGGTCTGTTTTTTCCAAGCGTTTTTATTGCTTTTAATATCCACAATGATGTCATAGTTTAGTGGAGACAACAACATTTTGTGAATAGGGCAATCACACACAAAAAAAACCTTCCTCCACAGTATACCAAGGTAAATTGGACCTTTTCATGATTTTGTACAACATGCATTTTATTCTTTTTGTGTGCTCACTGCCTGTATCTTGCTGCACTCTGTATGGACGTCTTCATCTTTTAGCGTTGCTTCCTGGCTGAGGAATTGTAAAATAGTATTTCCTATATAGTGAGCTGCAAAATGTTTAACATTAGCTGCCAATGTCGTGTGTTGGAGGTATTTTCTTTTTCTTTTGTAGAACTATTCACTGAGCAATAAAACAATGTAAAAACACCTACAGATAAAATGTATGACTGGCCAACTGTACATAAATAATTAAAAGTACTTATTCAGCAGAAAATCGTCCCTTTTAAGTGTTTCAATGTATGGATTAGTATTACTAATGCCAGTTTTTACTAATGTTTTCTGGTGTGCTGTGAGGGCCACATATCTCTTCAGGAAAAAGTAGCATAGTGTTTGGAGTATTTAAAGTTTTGGAGTTATAGGGTTTGTTTGCATTTTTACTTCATTATTTGAAACTCTGGCCACATTAATACGAGCATCAGAGGTTTTAACAGTATACATGACTGAAATAAGTTAATAAATAAGTTCCTCTTGGAATCATAAATGTGGGCTCTATTCTTGTGAACACCTTTCCAGCACAGCACAAACTCTAGAGGTTTAATAGATTTTCCAGTTTGTCTTGAAATAATAAAACGACTGTCTATTTATTTACCTTTTGCAAACTCCTATTTGCTGTATACCACCAGAACTTCTGCACAATAGAAATGATGATATTGAGCATGTTTATTAACACTGCCATGTGTTATTTCATACGTCTGAAAAATAAAGTAAATCCCTTGAATGAGCCTGGCTTTTGTTTTCAACACTGCACTGCAAAGAATAGCTGCAGACGCCCATCGAAGATGAAAAACACACCACCAACTGTGAAACCCTCACATCATCGCTCCCACCCACCAACCCCAGTCTCTTGCATTAAAGACCACACTTCACATCAAGGTGGTATCACATGTTCATTTGTGTTAATCACTCCCACAGGTTTGGAGTGGCAGGTGAGGATTTGGTCACTCATCAGTTCATCATAAGATCCCAGTCTGTGTCTGATCTCAGCTGTAATCCCACCTGACGTCAGCTCGCCCTCCTTCCTCCCCAATTTCTCCTTCCCACTTCTCTCCTTTTCTTTTTTCTCTGCGGTTTTACTTTCAAACCAACATTTTCTTTTTTTTTCTCCCCCAGGCACATCTCTCTAGTTGATTAACACACTGGGATTTGAGACGAGCAGATTTAAAGCACACAGCTAATTTTGAAAGCTGCATAATTTCCTCAGGGTAACAGAAATTAATTGGCTCATATGAGGAATTATCAGCCAATTGCTCAAGTGTCTTAGTTAAAAAGCACTACAAACTGGTCTCATTTGTCATATCAATAAGTGGGTGTCTACATTTTCAAAGGGTGCTAACATGCTGGAGGAAACTGCATGCCGAGGTGTCGTGTTTCATGCAGCACGCTTGTTTGATCTGCAGCACCCTGGGGAAATGTAGTAGACTTTAAGTATACATGTGGAACTGGGGAGTATACTAAGTACACTACGTTTATCCAGGGGATGCCTGCCGGACTCAAAACATGCAGAAGACAGAAAACTTGGAAGTGTGTAATTGCAAACCTCCTCTTATTTTTCAATGACTTCACTATGATTATCATTAAATGGTATTTCTGTCTGTGCAACATCCAGTTAGTTCTGATCTCTTGGTCATTTCGTTGCTGTCTCTTATTCCTTACATTAATACACTTCTGTTAACAAATATCTGAAATATACCAAAGTTATGAACACTGGAGAGAAACATCTATTCTTATCAGTATTTTCAGTGTTTGCTGTTATTGCTGAATGATTACTATTACTTTTTTTCTCCATTGTTTTCCAGTCTTTCTGCTGTGCTGTCTGTTTCACTTTTTATACTCAGTGCAAACCTCAGTTAAATACTATTACTACTACTAGTAAGTACAGGATTTACAGTATTGTGCAAAACTTGTCCATCCTTTTTGAATCTCTTTTCCTAGTTTTTCTTTGGATGTTGTCTGATTTTTCACTCATTTTCAGTTCAGGATCTTCAATCACATCGTTATTAGTGATCTGTCTAAAAATTACAAAAGGTAACCGTCAGACAGGCATGAAACAGCACTTTTGATCCAACAAAGGGATTCCCAAAGAGCTTTAGCTGAAAACACGATATATCACAGAACGGTGTGCTGTGTGTACTGATATCCTAAAGCATTATTTACAGCAAAATAAAAGTATCTGAAAGGCACGTCCTTAAGAAAAAGGGGAAAAAATACAGCAAAGACCTGACTCAGGGCCTGAGAGATACAGCTGCCCTTTGAGTCGATCCATCTGTTGTTTGCTCAACCCTCATCAGAAATGGACTCAGTGGAAGGATGGCTGTCAAAAACGCATTCTTAAGGAAGGGAAACAGTGAGAAAAGGCTGAAGTATGCCAAATTACACACAAACTGGACTGAAGATCAGTGGCATTTGGTCTGATATGTGGTTCAATTCCTCATCAACATCTTGTCCAGAGTCAAGTCAATTATGATTGCAGAAAAGCACCATCCACCATGCAAAACCATGCGGAAAGCATCTGATGTGCAGCAGCATAAAACACACGCAAACGTAACGGAACGCTGTCAGTCACTTCTTGGAGCCCAAACCTGTTTCTACTCATAGTACTATGTCATTACAGCATGCATTAGGATTTTACCCCTGGAAGTCAAAATAAGATGGTTATTCTGAACTTCAGTAATCTGTATTCAACACAAAAAAGCAAGCATCAGTGACAGAGGTGACACTGAATTATTTAGTCATGAAAGGGTGAATTGGCATTGAGGTGGGTTGCAAAGCAGTGTGTAGATGTACTACAGTTCTATTCAGTCTAAAGCAGCTTAAGTTATTCCTAAATTTTACTGCAAACTACTGAAACAAGTCTTGTTATGTCTCTTGTGGGAATTATATCATTTTTATATCATGTTTATTCTTCGATATCCTTTTTATTAAGCTTTGAGTAGTGGCATTTGATTAAAACATTTATTCAATATATTACACATATAGTTTCAATCATGTTATTACACATATTGCAAAATGTGCTTAGAAAAAGTTGGCCTTCTTTCTGGTAAGAGGTTACAAGCTTTATCTGGTGAGGTGAAAAGGTGATCAGAGATCTTAATATTCATCAAGTCAAAAGTCACCTGCAGTCACGTTCACCTCTTTTACCTCCTAACCAAACACCCAAATCTACAGATTTCAGCCATTAACAAACTCATTACCACTCTGCGGCTAATCCTGTGTGTGTCTGTGTGTTTTTGTGTAGTTTTACAGGTGTTTCACAGCATTCTTCAGCTGCTCCATCCCTGAGCAGAGCTCCACCTTAAAGACGTTTTCTCGGGTGACTAAGACATTCCGCTCCAACCGCCATGAGAAGGAACCCCAGGTGTTTGCCGCCGCTCCATCCACAGCCTTGCCCACACCCCACTCCATTCATGAGTCCTCGCAGGAAGCCAATCACGTGGCTCAATCTCCAACAAAAAGAGACTGTGTGGTTTCCCAAACTCCTACTGCTGTCAGCCTCAAACCTAAACTGATTCTGGTGGCTCACTATAGGGAATAAAAACAGAGACAACAGGAGGTGACTGCTCAGAGAAACAAGAAGGCGCAAACGAGCGGGAGAACAGGTCTCCAATTAAGAAACAAATCCTCTTAATAGCTGGAAAGAACGATTGCAGTGGGACCGCAGTGGGAGTTTTAAATACAAGCTGGGATGCTTTAATCCCAGAACAGGTTATCATTGCTGTGTGAGGTCGGCAAACAGGGATAGAGGCTCTGTGTACAAATCAGAAGACAGATTTGAAGATTAGGGCTACACAGAGTGCTATGTGTTAAAACCACACACTTCTGCCATTAGGATGTACCCGACATAATCACATCCATTGTACACAAGAGCACAAATGTTGCATTAAAGCTCACTTACCTCTGCCTAAAGTTTACCATTAAGGACCATGTATTTCTTCCACACTGGAAGACGGATAATTCTACCTAATTCTGCAGAAATGGTCAGGGATGTATGGTCAGAACATGACCCACGCAGTGCCAATGTGGAGAGGAAGATTACAAAACAAGAAGCCTGCTGTTTTAGAAAAAGTGGATATTCGCTTTTACTAAATGTTTAATCACGATGAGATGGGGGCTCTGCTTACATAATGGTTGTTTTTGTGGACGGACTCATGCTTGGTTTTAACAACAGTGCATTTGGAACGGATACATCGACAACACTTTGATTTGAGCCCCCATTATTTAGCAGTTACTAGCTGTATATACAGATTTACTAAATGGTTTATAGCACATTGTAATGTGTTTGCAAGTATGTGTCTTTATGTAATTAATTGCGTTTGAAATTAAACCCTTTATTTGCGTGTATTCAGATGTGTATATTTGTGTGTGTGTGTGTGTGTGTGTGTGTGTGTGTGTGTGTGTGTGTGTGTGTGTGTGTGTGTGTGTGTGGAATTAGCATGTTTATTAGGCCACTGCTAGTATGTCAGTAATGGGTATGGAAATAAGCACGACTGCACTTTAATGATTCAGATGTCCCAATGGAGAGGAAGATGTGCCGGTAAATCAATTACAAAGAGAAATGAAAAAAACCACAGAGTGCTTAAAAAAGCTAAGCTTTTTGCTTGTATGGATATGTGTGTGTTTTTTTTATGTAACTAACAGAACCAATTCAGGAACATTTTGCAGAACCACTGAATTGTTTGGTGATGATTACTATCCCTGTTTTTTTTTTTTTCATTTTGTTTTGTTTGTGCAAAGGGGGAATCCCAAAAAGTTCATTCTGTTCAACTGGACGTAGTGTTTACATTGGGACAAATGTTTTGTCACTCATCCAAGTGACTTCTTTAGTCCCAGCTGACTGCAGGTTTCCCCAACCTCACAAACAGTACATTTGCATAATAACTGAGACTAGCACACTAAAGGGATTATGGGCTGTGAGGTCAGTTCCTTGATCATTAATATGCAAAGTGTCATGACCATTGATCAGCAACCACTGACCCATTCACAGAGAGTTGGGGAATGTCTGCAATCACAGCATTGTAAGATGGGAAAAGATGTATCCTTAGGCCCCCTCCTCGATTCAGAGATGGTCTTTCCCTTTTCACATAAATGGCCTTCAATGTCCAGGTGTGTACATCCTCATCACTGAAAGAGTGTCCACTTGTCTGTAGGTGTGAATACACTGCCGGCCTGGCGAGTTAGCTATACCGTGTGGTGCCATTTGCTTAGCCAGAGATTGTTTAGGTTCGCTGATGTATAAATCATGGCAATCCTGTGGCACTTAACAACGTACACTATATTACTCTGTGCTGGGGGACCTGATCCTTGGGGTTGACTAATTATTTAAGGTTCCGGGGTGGCTGTAGCTCAGGAGGTGGAGCAGGTCACCTACTGATCGGAACGTTGGTGGTTCTGGCTCCTCTAGTCTGCATGCCAAGTATCCTTGGGCAAGATACTACCTCCGATGCATCCATCGGAGTGTGAATGTGTGTGAATGTCGTTAGAAAAGCACTCGGTTTAGAGTCAGTGCTTGTGAGAATGGGTGTGATTGGGTGAATGTGGCATGTTGTATACAGCGCTTTGAGTACTCTGGGAGAGTAGAAACGCTATATAAGAATCAGTTCATTTTACTATGACTCTCATCATCCACTGGAGTATGCTGGGCATACTCAGGACACTACAACGCCAGCCCCACAGATACAGCGGCCAGGGAAGCAGAAGAACATCATATCAAGAAGGCCCTGAGTAAATGTGATTATCCTAGTTGGACATTTGTGAAATCCAGGTCAATCCAGGAGAGAATAAGGACAACTGCTGCTTAAGCAAAAGCCCTTAGTGATCTGTTGTGTCAGAAGTATCAGAACAGCTGAGATGCATTTCCTATAAACACAGCATCTCCATGGCTTTCAAACCCCAAAACCTGCTGCACCAAAAATTGGTCCACTCCAAGGATCCTGTTCCCCGACACAAACAGAGTAATATAGTGTACGCTGTCAAGTGCCAGGAGGAGTGCCATGATTTATACATCGGGGAAACCAGACAACCTGCGGATAAGTGAAATGCAAAACACAGAAGAGCAAACTCGTCAGACCAAGACTCCTTAGCCTATCTACAGGCCATGAACACTCTTTCAATGACGAGGATGTACACATCCTGGACAGGGAGGAACGCTGGTTTGATCAGGGAGTCGAGGAGGCCATTTATGTGAAAAAGGAAAGGCCATCTCTGAATCGAGGAGGGGACCTAAGGGTACATCTTTCCCCATCTTACAATGCTGTGATTGCAGCCATTCCTGAACTCTGTAAATTGTTACTCGTGGCCCTTTGTCAATTGTCATTAATCAATGGTCTTTGATCAGTGGTTGTTGATCATTTGTGATCAGGAAACTGATATCACGGCCCATTGTTCGTCAGTTGTGCTAGTTTCATTCATAATGCACATGCACTGTTTATAAGGTTGCGGAAACCTGCAGTCAGCTGAGACTGAAGAAGTCACTTAGATGAAAACGCTACGTCCAGATAAGCAGAATCAACTTTTTGGAATTTCCTTACCTGGATGATGCTTTTGATGTTTTGTCAACTATGTTTGCAGATACTGTAGCAGGATTTTTTTTCCAATTTGGTTGAAGAAGGAGGGTAAGCCTTTTTTCCTGACCCAATTTCCAAACCAGTAGGCTATTAGAGGATTTGATACAGAGTATTAAGGATTTTTTGAGTAATTTCATGCAATTTAGTACTGAGATGGTTTTTATTAGATCTTTATTTACACTTTGCTGCATATAAGTCTCCTTTCACCAGAGCTGGGACTGTTACAGAAGCCATTAAAGGGACCTTCCACCATGTTACATGGGACATGTAAGGTATTTCAGTGTTTTGAGTTGCTGATATTTCTAAAACTGCTGCGTCTCTCTGTTTGGTGGCAGTGTGGTTTTGTGTTGTCTCCTAATGTACTTTCCTTTGCTTATGCAACATAAATGAAATAATATCCGAAACAGATTGGGATGTCTCAGTATTTTTCCTTCATTGAAAGTTTTTTTTGTCTCTTTCCTGAGAAGCTTTAGCTCACTGTTACTGTGTCAGTTTACTTTCTCCATATTCACATGTGGTGATTAATCCATGAATTATTAACACAGGCATTATTACAGAGAGAAAAACAGATTACCAGTCTTGGCCTCTTTGAGAAGCAAACAGTATTTGGAGCATTCGAATGGAATATTACAAAATGACGGCCATGAATATGTAATGAGCTGACGGCTGCAAACACACTCACTCAAGTCAGTAGCAGAGGTTTCATAGTGGATTACTTGATCTCATCTTTTGGAGGATGGTATGCTGCAGGAATTAAGTGTGGCTCCACACAGTTTCAGTTACATTACACTGAAAACACTGAAAACACTTTTATCAGGGATTTTTAGTTTCATACATGTTACCACTAGGTCACTACCTCATCAGTGGAGAAGTACCAAAAAACAGTTTTAACTGCCGCTTAAAGTTGGCCCCAAAAAGTGTAAAGAAATAGTTCCTCCAGTATGAAAAGTGACACCTTTATCATGTTTATTATCAAACAGCCAGCAGACTTGAAGGCTATTTAGAAGTCTTTTGGAAATTTTTATTCATTTGGATATATCATCTGCTAGCCCTCCCCTACTCTAATTAAAGTCACTGAACTGAACCTTTCCACTATATTTGTACTGCTGGTATCATTTGAAGCATTTTAATTGAATAAAATAAAAAATAATATGGTCTGCTGTGATGGCATAGCTTGTCCAAAAAGTTTGTGATCCATTTTTGAGGAGTGAAATTAGAAGGTATAAAAAGATGTTACAGTGGGAGAGAAATGCGGTACACAGATTATAATCAGTCAATTCCCTGTACTACTGATCTCAGCTCACATAACACCTGTCTGCAAAATCTATTTCTTCCACTCCACACCGCCCACTACCATGGGTAAGACCAAAGAGCTGTCAAGGGACATCAGGGATAAGATTGTGAGCCTACACAAAGGTGGAATGGGCTACACAACCATCAGCAAGAAAGTTGGTAAGAAGACAGCTGTTGACCTTAATATATGGAAACTGAAGAAATATAAAATAACCATCAATCACCCCAGGTCTGGCCCCAAAGTATACTGCCAAGGCAAAAAAGGAGTGGTTAAAGAAGACATTACTACATTAAGGTCATGTAGTAGCCAATCTCTAGGCCTCAATCCTGTAGAAAATCTATGGAGGGAGATGAAGTTTTTCATTGACAAACAGCAGGCAAGAAACCTAAAGGATTTAAAGAGTTCCTGTGAAGAGGAGTGGGCCATAATCTATCCTGAGTAACCAACTGGTAACAGACTACAAGAAGCATCTTACTGCTGTGTTATAGGCCATGTTTTGGTTCGGGATCAAATACTTATCTCAGTGAAATGCAAATCATTTTCTAACTTTGAGGTAGTAGAGAGGTTTAGTACAAGAGGTATAGCAAAGTCACTATTTGTACATGAGTGTCAGCTACTGCTGTGTTAGAGGGGAGCCCCATTTTCTGACATGCTAGTGATGTGTCAGGTAGATAGAAGGTACAGTGAGATGGTATTACAGGAAGTCCAAGTGTCACCAATTTATAATACTAACACATAGAACACGATGTGTTCAGTATCGCAACTTATTCAGTATATTACACTGGATGCACGCTTGCACATGTGAGGTAATCTAAGGATGTTTTTTGAGTGATGATGTTGCACCATGTTGCATAAATAGTTTAGCCAATTAAAAATGTTTTGCTGCACAGACCTATGCTTCCTTTTGGAATTAGCACCATGCTGTGCTAGGCTAGAAATGGATGAAGGCTTATAAACCAAAATGACTGAATCCCCTGAAGAAGTGGTTCTGGTGTGCATTTGAGAATCACACTTGCTTGAAGTTATTTCAAGCTTATTTGCAAGGACAACCCAGTTCTATTAAAATATTATAAAAGGAACAGCATAAATACTACAGAAAAACATGTAGAATTAATTTTTTCAATAGATTTTTTTTTTAAACATGAAGTTGCTTTGGCCTTTTTTCAACATGAATATAATATTTCACAGTAGGTTTTCTTCCTGCATGTACATATAAGGTTGTGTTGAATCTATCTGTCTGGAATGTAATCATAAACTGTACAGCATGGCCTTATCACTTGCAGAGACACCAATTACATAATCAGACAGATTAGATGGTTGCAGATTATCAGATCCAGACATCTCCAACTAACTGCAGTGCCCTTTATATCACACTAGATCATAAACAGTTACTCTGTTGTGATGGAGTGTCATAACACAGCGCTTGTATTTTAATCAAATTATACTGAGAAGTTGCAGGCACTGAATGTTACAAATTGAAATAACAGTACCAGTAGGTTATATAATGTTTTGTATTACAAGAGCCAAATTAAGTAATTAGTGAGTCAGAAAATGTTTGACAATTGCAATAAGTCAAACTGAGCGCTTAATAATTTTTTTTTAAAAAAAGAGCTCTTTGTTTATATTTCTGAGCAAAATGCACTGAAAGATATATATATATTTTAAATTTTTTATTTTTTTTTAAAGAACCAAATACAGGAAAGCTAAAGAGGTGGTTGCCAGAAAATGTAAAGCACAGTGTCTGGGAAGTAAGCAAATAAATAAGTGCCGTTCATCTCCATATTCTTTACGTGACAAAGACAAATCTCGCTTCTTCTGTATGAACTGTCAGTTCATCTCTACGTGATTGGTTACACGTCTTTGTGCTTTTGAAGCACATGTTCAATTTCGCCTGAAAATAATTTTGTCAGCCACCGTTGACTCACTTTTTCGCTTGAGGTAACCAGTTGATGAAGTACCACAGGATATGATGG